ATATATATATATATATATTAATCAGTAGTATTTTTAAAAAATTTAATTTACTACAAGGCTAAAAAGATTTATAATCAATTAAAATTATTAATTAAGAAAATAGAATAAAAATTATTAAATTAGATTCAAATGATGTTTTAATATAAACAATAACTTTTCAATATTGCCCTAACCCTTAACATCTTATGATTACGTGACTCTTTGTTCGTGAATAGCTCGTGTTCGGCTTGCTAAGCACTAAGCAAACGAGTCGAACTTTTTGAGATCGAAATATAAACGAGTCGAACATGAGCTAAGACTGATCTTGCTCGTGTTCGGCTTGTTTACACCCCTACTCCTAAGCTAAGGCGAACCAATCTCTTTTGATCAGAGGTCGTGTTTAGATGAACCAGAAATTGCATAGTCTTCATCTATACAAAAATCTCTCCCTTCTTACACCCCAGATCATCACAGCTTGACATAGGCGAGAAGTGATCAAGATCTTGCCACAACCGCTCTAGATTTATGAAGTACCCCTGAATCGATTCGTCACCCTGAACCACTGCCTCAATCTCTCGTTAAATCTAAAACGCCATCATGTGGTTCTCAGCTTCAGCATAGTTCTTCAACTTCGCCCAAATGCCGCTCACTTCTCGAATGCCATCCATTGATGAGGCAATCAATGAAATCATCGAGTTGAGTAGACATGTGTAAAGCATGGCATGTGTGGTACTTTACTCATCCCTCTTAACATTGTTACTCATTGGCTTAACTCTCTTCAGGCATCCTTCTAGTCTCTTCTCTACTAGAGCAGCCTCGATCCGACGTGGCTACCTCAGATACGTTACCTGTCTATCAAACTTCAGATCCACGGGAGGGTGATCTGTTTTCGCCTGTGTCGAAGCATGGGCTGAGCTAGTGGCTCTTATCGGGACACTAGCTCCTTGTATGAGCCTGACCAAGACCTTTAGAATTTCAGGATTCATTTTCCCCAAAGTGTCGATCCTTTACCTCCTGCACTTTCTCCATCTCACATCCCACGACTTCCTTCCTACAGGTTCGTTCAATCCACTTTGGTTTAGTCCGCACAAAGCCACAACCTCTTTGCCCCAGATGCCAAAGAGTCTGAGTTGAAGCCTTGCCGCACTTCAACGTACGCAAATACCACATTAGATTCCTCTTCATATTCTCTGTTCACTCAGTCCTTCACGCTCAAACAAAAGCCCCGTTTCCTGGCACCAAAGTTCTCTGCTTTGCCTCGCACCCGGGCATGCTTTTCCTACCTCTGTGCATGTGAAGACCTTTCTCCTCTTCAATCCTGATTGTCGCGATCCCGTAAAATCCTTCC